CAAGAGGAAGTTGTGTGTGTTTACTTGAGTTGTGAAGCAAACAAGGATGTAGGATGAATGAACACTCCAACAGAAAGAAACAGAGCAGAAGACAAGAATTGTCGACAACGCAAAGTGGTGACGTGGCAGTGTTTGTTGAGAGTTGTGTGGTTATGTGGTGTGTTATGCAAGAGCATGTAACATCGAGCAACCACACAAGGTAAACACTGCACGTGCAACAGGTTGGAGGGAAATCACGTGAACATTCCAGAACACAAGAGAGGTGAATGTGAATTTGTGGTGTCGTGAAGAAGGGAGGTCAATGATGACTCAGCAGACAGGACTTGCCTGTCAACAGCGATCCCACCCACGACGACGATGGCATACTCCTATACTCTGCCCTCGTGTCCTGCTCTGCAAGCGAAGAGCGATGACGCCCTTGCCGATGCAAAGTCCCAATCACAAAGGGGATAGCCCAGTTGCCCGGATACATCTTGCTCAGATGATTCTTGTTCCGATGGTCTGCGCAACAATCGTGTACGGTCTGAAGTTTGTTTTATACTTCATTCCGGTGGCGCTCCGTGAGGTCCAAGATGTTGTTTATCGCGTTCAGCGCGCTGCTGCTGTTGCATTTGTCCATGGGCGATAGGGGTGGGTTACTTAGTTGGCCCTTTTCTGAACACGCACACTCTAATCTGCTTGTGTGCATGCGCTGTGTGTGCTGGCAGTGTTTGTTGAGAGTTGTGTGTAATGCAGAACGAGTTGGAACACGTTCCCCGGTGTCTCAGTTTGTTGCTTGAAAGTGCTCATGCGTGGCTGTTCCACTTTCCGTGCTTCAGTTATGATCCTTGGTTTACCACGACAGTACACCCTTGCACTGACGGTATGTGGCTGGTTATGCAAGAGCATGTAACATTGAGCAACCCCACAAGCTAAACACTGCGCGTGCAGCCGTCTGCAACACCAACAACCAACACCAACACTGGCCACAGAAGTAGCGGACGGCAACGAACGTGAATGCGGCAACAACAACCCACGTTTGTGTGTTGCGACATGGCTCTGATCCATTCGCGGGCATCTGTCGTCGCGTTCCGGGCCGGGCCGCTTGTCAGAGCTACGCCGTGGGCCAAGGCCAACATTGGGGCAGTCTGTAAAGAATAAATATGCTGTCGCCATATCGTTTGAACACCTATGTTGGTTAAACGCTCCGGAAAGCAACTGTTGGACGTCCTAGGCCATGTCGTAGTGCACAAGTCACACAAACCGCAAAAAGGTGCAAAAGGGATATCAGGAGAACTTACTGGTACGTACTACGGTTGCTGAGGCTAATGGGGGTGTATCTTCTTTAGGTGATTTCTGAACAGACTTTTGTAGTTTAGCTTGTGAGAGCAGATGTCACAGTGGCACTTGCGCGGCATGCGGTATTTCCGGTGCCGCGCTAGCTATGCCTTCGTCTTGAATGCCTTGCCGCAGCCTTGTCCATCATGGCATTTGGATGTTGACAGGCAAGTCCTGTCTGCTGAGTCATCATTGACCTCCCTTCTTTACGACACCAAAATTTACATTCACCTCTCTTGTGTTCTGGAATGTTCACGTGATTTCCCTCCAACCTGTTGCACGTGCAGTGTTTACCTTGTGTGGTTGCTCGATGTTACATGCTCTTGCATAACACACCACATAACCACACAACTCTCAACAAACACTGCCACGTCACCACTTTGCGTTGTCGACAATTCTTGTCTTGTGCTCTGTTTCTTTCTGTTGGAGTGTTCATTCATCCTACATCCTTGTTTGCTTCACAACTCAAGTAAACACACACAACTCTCTCTTGCCAAGACAATCTCCCACACAACACACAGCACACTCTGCACACACACACACACACACAAGTCTCCAACAACAGCACCACCAGCATGAACTTACAACAGATTATGAGACCCAGCTCAATTAGCGCAGACGGCATCAAGGTCTTCGCTGGCGCTGAGCAGGATGCCAACCTCTTCTTCATCACCGTCGAGGCCAAGCTCATCGCCGCTGGCATCGACGCTGGCATCATCGACGAGGCTCTGCTGACCACCAAGGAGACGGGCAGGCTCCAGCAGCTGCCTCATCGCCCAGTCCATCCATCCTCGGTGCTTCGGGTCCCCGCACTCGCCCCCGCCCTCAACGCGCCCCTCGCCGCACTGGCGTCCGCCACGACGCGGGGGACCACGACGACGATGACGACGACGAGGGCGACGGCGACGACCACGGCGCTCAGCCATCTTCCTCCTCTTCCTCTCTCCCTTCTTCCGCCACTCCCGAGCGGAGGAGCGCAGGTGGCGTCCCGAGCCTCTGGCCTGCTGGATCCCCGTGATCCACAGGTTGACGCAGCCATCTTCGCGTTCCTCCTTGGCGTCCTGACGGGACACCCGCTGCGGCTGGCCATCACCGACAACCGTGGCCGCTCCGGTGTGCTTGCGCTGCGCCGCCTCCGCGAGCGCTACATCCGCAGCGGCAAGGACCACGTGAGTCGTCTCAGGCAGCAGCTCTCCTCGACCACCTGGTTGCCCACGGACACCGTTGACACGTTCATGTCCCGCATCACGGACATCAACTCGCAGCTCCTCGCTGCCGGCGTGTCCATCCCGGAGGACGACCTGCGCACCCTCGTCCGCAATGAACTCCCCGCGGAGTTTGATGTGGCGATGCGGTTCATGGAGCGCGAGGACCCGCCGCCATCGCTGTCCAAGATGACGGCGGACCTCATTCAGGAGGAGCGCCGCCTGCATCGTCCCAAGAAGCGCACGCCCGTGCTCGCCATCGGCGGGCCAAGCCCCGGCTCCTTCGCTGCATCGCCGATGCACGCTGGCACGTCGCCCTCCGACACGAGCGGTGGACCATGCTGTCCACCTGCAGAGCGCGTGACTTGCGCGTTCTGCAACTTCCGCGGCCACTGCGCGCAGCAGTGCCGCAAGCTGCAGGCGGCCAAGCGCTACCACGTCATCGACGTGCGGCAGATCCTGGCTACGCTTCGCAACCATGGCAACGGCAACGGCAAGCGGCCAGGATCCTCTCGCCCGCAGCACGGACGAGCAGCTCCATTCAAGAAGGCGGCCGTCGTCAGCCACGGCTGTGGAGAGACGAGTCCGTGTCATGTGCATGTGGATGTGTTTGCTTATGTCCGGAAAGCTGGAGACAGCATGAATAGTTCTGCGATCCAACCGGTTTCTGCTGTGGTTGTTACACTTCCGTTTTCTTCGTTCAAGCTGTGTGTTGCTTCCACACAAAGTGCAGTATTGCATATGTTTGCGTGTTGTTCGTCCAATCTCTTTGTTGTTTCTGCCACAATGCGGGAGTGCTTCACTTGTGTTCATTCATCCTTGTTCCCATCTGTCTTCCACATCACACAGTAAACCCACACAAACACACGCAGACAAGTGAGCATACCACTACGCTAACGCACGCACACACAAACACACGTACATCCTCTGCTTGTCTTGCGTTCGACATGGCACAGATTATGAGACCCATGGACCTGTCCCTGGCTTCCCTTCCCCACTTCAACGGGAGTCCAGATCAGCTTCGCCTCTTCCAGCTCAACTTCAAACGGTATGTGAAACGAACACTACCCGGGTCGGAGAAGGTGCTTGAGGGTGATGACGGCGCCTCCACGGAAGAGAAGGAGCACGTCCACCTCAGCTTGATGTTAGCGCTGGAGAACTGTGAGGAGGCGGTGGCCTTGATTGTGCGAGGGCATGATGATCCAACAGCAGCTTGGCGCGCACTCGACAACTACTACAAGCACGCGAACGATGAGCGAAAGAAGGCGACCTACCTCGCAGAGTTCATTGCTGCAACAGCTTGGCAGAACGATGACAGCCAAGACTCCTACAGCAAGAGAGTGTTGACGGCCTACGAGAAGATGAAGGCTGTGTACGAGATGAGTGAGGCTATGACGAAAGAAACAACAGCATCCTGGATTCTGTTTGCCTGTCTCCACAGCAGCAAGCCCACTGACTTCATGAAGGAGTTCAAAGAGCCAACAGCAACAGTGAATGAGACGATGATGAAGGTTCTGCACGCGTCTCCACCACAGCAACCAGCATCAGCGTTTGATGACAAGGTGTTTCGCATGTCTGCCAAGCGAAGGGCTGGTGAGGGAAAGGCACGACAACAGCGCCAAAAGTCCATCTGCAAGTGGTGTGGCAAGTTTGGTTACCACAAGGAGCACGAGTGCTACCACAACCCAGCCAACGCTCAAGGACAGACCGGTGGGCGTGGTGGTGATGGCGTGCGCCAAGGACTGCATCATCAGCAACAACAGCAACATCATCGTCGTCAGCCTGTGGCACAACGGCTAGAGCCAAGGCATGTGTCACTCAAGATGGCCACGTCACCTCGAGACTCGAGCAACCGCATCAGCCTCCCAGGCAACGCTATTGGCGTGGACACGCAGTCATCTGTGCACATCTTCGCCAGCCCTGGGGCATTCACGCATCTGTACCCACTGACGCCACCAGCAAAAGTCCATGGACTTGGTGGAGAGGTGACAGTGGAGCAAGCAGGCCAGGTCGTGCTGCAGACGAAGGGAGTCCGGGGTGAGGATGTCGTTGTGACCATCAACAACGTCATGTTTCTTCCCACATTTGGGTTCAACATCCTCTCGGCCGGCAGGCTCGTCGACTCAGGCCTCAAGGTGTGCCTGGACAAGAAGACGTCGGCGGTTGCTTGTCCTGACGGCTCGATCCTGACATTGCATCAGCACGACGACAAGACGTACTACTTTGACGCGCAGCTGGGCAAGCCCGAGGTCATGCAGAAGTGCAACGCAGTGTACACACTGCACACGTGGCATCGTCGCCTCGGCCATCGCTCCCTTCACACGATTCGCAAGTCTCTGGAGGAGCAGAATGTGCGGTTTAGCGACAGCACGGGCAGCAGCAGCGACCCTGCGTGCGACCCCAGCTCGGCCACATGTGAGGGCTGCCTGGCCTTCAAGACGGTGAAGAAGCCCATCAGCAAGCAGGCAGTTCGAGATGCCGAAAGCCCGGGCGACACGCTGCACCTCGACCTTCTTGGGCCCTTCCCACCGTCGATCCAGGGCAGCAAGTACGCGCTGGTTTGGCTAGACGAGAGGACCCGGTTCATGGACTGCACCTATGTCAAGGCCAAGAGCGAGGCTGCAGATGCGCTTCGCCACTTCGTTGCAACGACGCCAATACCAGTTGACCGTGGCACCCTCGTTCAAACGGACAGCGATCCCGTCTTCACGTCTCGGCGTTTCGTGCAAACGGCAAACGAGCTTGGCCTTCGCCTTCGCTACAGTCCGCCACATGTGCACGAGCACAACGGGCTTGTGGAGCGAAGCATTCGCACGCTGAAGGAGTCTGCCGCTGCCATGCTGCACACGGCACCACTGCCGCAGCACCTCAAGGACAAGCTCTGGTCTGCTGCGCTTGGACACTCTGCATGGGTGTACAACCTTCTTCCGCACTCCCAACTGGGCATGTCACCGTACCAGGCTCTCTTCGCCAAGCCTTCGCCACTGCAGCACGTGCGCGTCTTCGGCTGCAAGGCGTTCGTGTATGACCACGTCCACACGGACAAGAGCAAGGCCTTTCCCCGACGGGCCATGGAAGGCTTCTATGTTGGCTTCGACACGCGATGCAACGCGCATCGCATCTACGTCAAGGCAACTGGGCGAGTGAGGTCCTCCATCCACGTTGACTTCCTGGAAGAGGTTGACTGCACGAGTCAAGGGGGTGCTTTACCGACATCACCACTCACAGGCAGCAACGGCACCAGCACTGTGCAGAACCTATGGGTGATGCCAGCAGCAACAGCATCAACACCTGACCCCATGCGGCAGGGCGACGAGAACACACCTGACCCCATGCGGCAGGGCGACAGCGGCGGCGCACAAACATCTGCACCACTCGCGCAATCAGCACCCACGGCACAGCAGAAGACAAGCTGTGCCGTCAACAGCAAGCATCCTGACTCGTCAACGGCAGACGACGGCAGTGATGACGATGGCGATGGCGATCACAGCGACGACAGTGACGGCTACGAGACCGACATCCTCTGCCTGCGGACTACCCTGTTGAAGAATGCGATGGTACAGACGCACCAGCCACCGCAGCAGCCGGTCCCCAAGACATGGCGGGACGCCATGGCCTCTGCACACAAGAGCAAGTGGCAGGAGGCCTTCGTCAAGGAGTGGAGTAACATGATTCGGCACGATGTCTTCGACATCGTTGACCAGCGCACTCTTCCCATGGGCGTGCGACCAATACCGTCCAAGCTCGTCTTTGCTGTGAAACACAAACCGGACGGCAGTATTGTCCACAAAGTCCGGTTTGTTTGCTGCGGCAACCGGCAGACGGAGGACACATACGCAGATGTATTTTCGCCCACGACACGCTTCGAGGCTCTGCGCACCTTTCTCGCTGCTACAGCCCAGCGACACATGCTGCTGTGCCAGTTCGATGTGTCTGCGGCTTTTCTCCATGCCGAGCTCGACATGACAAACGTGTTTGTGCGTCCGCCGCAGGCAGCAACCTCCCTGGCCGGGTCTGTGCTGAAGCTGCGCAAGAGCCTCTATGGCCTGCGCCAGGCGCCGAAGCTGTGGTACGCATCTGTCTGGAAGACGATTGGCGGCAGCGGCTTCCAGCGTTTGCGGTCCGACGCCTGCATCTTCGTCAACCAGGATCGCACAGTCATGATTTGCGTGCACGTCGACGACTTCCTTGTGGCGGCAACGACACAGGAGCACATGGACCGTGCAGAGGCTGTGCTTGCAGCCAACTACGACCTCAAGAACTTGGGCGCGCCACGACAATACCTCAGCATTGCGATCTCCTATGACAGAGAACGCGGCGTTATGACGCTGAACCAGCACGACTACATCCAGACTGTGCTGAAGCAAGAAGGCCTGGAGGACTGCAAGGCGAAGGCAACTCCACTCCCCGTCAAGATGAAGCTCGTGCCGGTGGAACAAGCCGAGGTCGACGTTCGTCACTACCAGAGCATCATTGGCAGTCTGCTGTATCTCGCAGTGACGACGCGTCCCGACATCAGCTACGCCACATCCGTGCTCTCCAGATTTATCCAGCAACCCGGCAAGCAGCACCTACACGCGGCCAGACATGTCTGCAAGTACCTACGGGGCACGGCGGCTCTGGCAATCAAGTACAGTGCGGGTGATTCGCTTCAACTCCTTGGCTACACAGACGCAAGTCACATGTCTGACCCCTACACGTCGAAGGGGCATGGAGTGTTGTAGAGCGGGAATAAAAGAGGCTAGCATTTCACCCGCTTGGCTACGAAGGCCATTTAAGCTTAAGGTTTGTAATGCTTTTGTAGTGATAAGGGAATCTTGTTGTGGCACTCCACAACACTCTCCCCTCGTTAAAAGGAAGAAGCTTAATGCTCAACCGAGCGAACGTAAGTCCTCACCGCGAAGACTATGAGTGTGGCGGTAACCTTTCTCAAGGAACCGCAGCACACTCGTCAATCGCAAGGCAGTGTCCATAGAGGAGGACTCACGTCCGCAATGGGAGCTAAAGCTGAATGTCCGGTTCGGAACTTATAGTCCGGGTCGGACGGAAGTAAAGGAGGAGTAATCTCAACTCCTGACAAGGATTGTTTTTTTTCCTTGTGAAGGGCGGTGGATTTCAACCCAATCGCTACCAAGTGTTGTAGAGCGGGAATAAAAGAGGCTAGCATTTCACCCGCTTGGCTACGAAGGCCATTTAAGCTTAAGGTTTGTAATGCTTTTGTAGTGATAAGGGAATCTTGTTGTGGCACTCCACAACATGGAGGCCACCTGTTCACCATCGCCGGTGGCCCTGTGACATGGCTGTCCAAGAGGCTGCCTCTCGTCACAACATCATCGGCGGAGACAGAGTACGTCGCCGCTGCGCGCGCAGCACAGGCTGCGGTGTACCTGCGACAGCTCCTCCAGGAGCTGGGATTCGACGTCGGCACCACACCACTCCACATGGACAGCCAGTCTGCCATGTGCATTGCTACCAATCCCGTGGCCAAGGGCGGCTCCAAACACATACGGCTGCGTTTGTTGAGAGTCAGTGCGTTTCTGTTTTGTGTTGAGTCCTTCCTAATTTGCCTTCTCATGTGGTTTTGTCTTGTTTGCCAACAACACCTGCTTTGTGGTTTTTCCGTTTGCAAACATTCCTTCCTCTCTGCTGGCATGCATGTGTGCCAACTGCCTCTCCTCTCCTCCTTCCCCTACACACGTGAGTTGTGTGCCATGTGTTTGTGTGTATGTGCATGCCCGTCATGCTTGGCAAATGCTATGTGTGCGTGCCATGCAGTGTTGTGAAGTGTTGTCTGTTGTGTATGCTTGCCTGCAAGCATTCATGCCATGCCTAGCATTGCTCTGCGCGCATGTATGCATGCTGCTCATTGTTTAGATTGTTTGTGTTCGTGCACACTCTGCCCATGTCGCCTTGGCAGCGTCATTGACTGTGTGTGCACTTGTCTAGTGTTTGTTTGAGCGTGCTGCCCGAGTTGATTAGGCAGCAGCTTGTTGTGCTTGTTCATTCTCCTTGTGTTCTTGTTTGTTGCGTTTGCCTACAGTAAACACACACACACACACACCTGTCGTGTTTCTACAGATTATGAGACCCAGCCACTCCTGATCATCATCGCTACTTGTCTCACACTCGCTTGTGCTTCTTCTCTCCCTTCTGCTTGTTCCCCTCTCTTGTTTCTCCATCACCCTTCTTGAGCGTGCAGTATGTCTGACCCGTCGGACCACGTCGTTTCCACGCCAGGATTCAAGATGGA